CCATGTATGGTTAAGTATATTCGACTTAATCTGTGTTTCAGAACAGCTTGTGATAGATGGTGAAGATGGCAAAGATACTGTCTGCTCCTTTTCCGGGGTATTCTCTGTAGAGGTATTCTCAATTTCTTTTTTGTTAGAAATCTGTAAATAATTAATTTACTTATAAATAAGAATCAACATCAAAATGTCATAAAAGTTTCTGTGCTTTTAAATAAAATAGATTAAATTTCAAATGTCCTAACATGTAATAATATATTTACACGTAAATAAGAGCGATTGAAATCCGATTTCACTAAAAAGTACGTAGAGATTATTGAACATCCTATATTTAATATTCTTTTTTGAATAAAAACATTATACGTCAATCAGAAAAAATTGAATAAATAGCGCCACATTGTATTAAGAGAAAACAAATACAGTTATTTTCGTTGATCACAATCGATTTCATAAATTAAAGTTTTCGCAATTTTGCGTCAAATTTCAAGAATAATTAGTAAACTGCATTTTTGCCCAAGTCTTGCACGATCTATAAATTCCGTTAAATTTAACCGGAGACTTTTATTCATAACTTTATACTGCCCTGTCCACCCCTATAACAGCACTTTGATCTTTGATGTACATATAAGACCAATTTTTAAAATGTTTTTTATATTACATATATAAACAGAGTTCTGTCTTGAATTCTGATACAATTAACAGATTCGTCTGAAGTAGACTCTGCATTAATAATTTTTAATTGTTCACATATTACACATGTGCTGAGTAGAAAATAGATTTGATACGTGTATAAATATTTCTGAATTTTCTTTGCTATGTAGAGTATGTAAGTATGTAACTATCGCTTTAAGGAATGTCTTTAATGTATTGATACTGCATCGTTTATACCAAGTTTTATGTGCTTTCTAACGTTCTAATAACATGCACTCAACGAAGTTGAAAAAAAAACTTACTTTATTCTCTTCCATTATACATTGTCGCTTTTCTGCTGAATCTTGATCAGTCGAACGTAAGCTCTTACGTTTCTCTAACGACATGCTTTGTAGAGAAATAATATTCCAACACCGTCCAAACGAAGAAATTACTACTTAGATTTAATGCGTTCACGTATGTACAGATATGTAGCAACTGATTCCTCTTTTATTTCCTTTTGTCAAATCAAGTTTCCAAGCTACTGCAAACTGCAAATATGATGCCAAGATGTGATGTGAGAAACGATGCAAATGAACAAATGAACAACGCGACCATTGCATAAAACAGAGCCGGGGCGGGGGCGCCAGCCGCCACGCCCTGGCCGCCCGCGCGGCGCGCCCGGGGCTCACCGTAACCCGTAAAATAAGTGAAGGGGACACGCATCCTAAGAAAATCACGCATGTATGTACATACATACGTGTGTCACACGTATGTGGCTCCTTATTAGAATGCGTGTCCCCTCCATCTATCTC